GCTTTAATCAGGTAGATGTTCATGTTTGCGAAAGGAGTTTTTCGCACGGTTTCAGGATTCTTCAATAAAACAGCCAAAAATTGATTGAAATTTGAGCGGAATTTCTTTTGATAATGTTTTCCGGAGAGTAAAATATATATAATGATATTAGGAATGAAAGAATAGCACATGATTTGATGCGACTCTGTTTCGAGAACACTCATTAAATGAGACGATGTTTTCGTTGTTTCAATTAACGCTAGCCTTACGCTATCAATATCATTACGACAAAACAGCAGTTCTGTGATAATTTGATTTATTTCATATATTTCGACCCAGTAAACATCACATTAGTGAACAAGTTCAACTCTTAATTGTTCCGAAAAGCAAGATATTTCGTTCGAAAGATATTCGTTATGAAATTCGCTCTCATTCAACAATTGATGTTTTCGCGTTTTATAACTTTGGAGATTTGGATAACTGGATTATCATATTGAATTGTTGAGCCGTATGTATGATAAATATGAATTGAATACACAGGCATTGTCCTTATGAGTGTTATTATCTGATGTGGTTGTTTGATCAGAGTTAGTACCATGATAATAATCGTTATTGACACTGTGCATTTCTAAAAACCATAAACATTCAACGGGTTTGGGATCGAGAAAGTAACTTATTCTTTACAGATGAATATGTTCTCATTTCGTAGTACTGATGTATCGTGATAGCAATAACAATTACTGTTATTGTTTTATATGAAGAATGTAATTTTTGTTGTTTTCTTCTTACTTATTATTATTATACTCTTCTCAAATGATACCTCGAAACTCCTTCTTTATTCAACAATCTGCTAAGCGTTTCTTTTCTCCTGTCCATTTTGCTTCGGCTGTCTTAATAATAATACTAATAATAATGGTATTGTTTTTACTGTATTTAATATTATTATGAGTATTATTATTACTTTGTACTTATTAATTATTGCTATTTGTCTAGATTTACACGTTTCATATTCATTGTATTTGAATGGGAAAGTTGTGTGGTTGCTTGTTCCGTAGTTCTTTTTGCAGACACAAATAACTAATAAGGGGAAAATGAAAGAATATTAAGACTAGTATTTAGCATAGCTCAATTACCAACGTTTCGCTGTGATTAACTCCAAATCTTTATCACAAACTTTCAGTTTTGATTCGTCACTATCTTTTATTGCTTCATTTTACATGTTATTTATCGTAGTGTACAATGTAAATGCGAATTTCTATGTTCTTCGATTATAATCAACACATTCAACTTTCCCAAAAGCTACGATTTACAATGCCTTAATCGGAAATCTTATTTAATGATTGTATATTTTGAAGAATTATTCATCACCGTTGTGTCTTCTTGCTGAATGATGTAATTATTTTCTTGATTGGTCATACTCTTGTTGGATCGATCTACTCTGTGCGTTTCGATCCTATTTTTGGGCTTTGAATCTATCCGTATATATTGTTAGGATATAATCAGTAAAATGAGGTAACCATCAAAAAGTGAAGTGAAACTGGGAACTTGTTGTTGATTTGATCTGTATTTTGTCAACGAGATATTGAGTAAGTGCAAGCGTACGCCGTTGAGCACTGGTACATGAGAATGCTTGATCGATTCCGAGAAATTGTGAAGTTTAATTGATAATTTGACTTTGTTCGGCTAAGAAAAGTTGAAAATTGAGTTGAGTTCTTTTGATGATAGGTTGATGAGAGGAGGGCATTTCGTACACATTCTCAAATTCATTCGACACGTGCATAACATGGAATTTTGTATAACATAACATGGATAACATGGAAATTTGTCGTAATTCGACTTCAGACAGAGAGTTGCAATCGATTCTTCTGAATGATTCATGTTTGACTGATGTTATATGAGCGATGGATGTTTAGTTCAAGAATTAGTTGTAAAAGTATGGCTATAATACTATATTTGTCGAATTTCTTGGTACATTGTGATATTGTGTACGTGTGTTGCATAATGCCTCAATGCTTTTTGTATTATACGAATATTTATTTATTTTACAATTCATTTGTCAAATATTTTAGAATGATTTCCGTTATTGCTGGTTAGTTGATATCCGTACAACTGATTGTGTCATCATGTATTTATCTGTTACGATTTGATATGATCAATGGAATGATTTTTTGTGTAATTCAATTTTGTTCCATGCAATTACTGCTTATTTGTTAACAAGGAAAATGATTGGTCTTCTTTTTTCTTCTTCTTCTCATTTCTTTGTGTTAAGCCAAATTGTATATGATCATTGGAACGAACATTTGAACAAGACAACGGCTGCTGTCTCGAATTATGATCGAAGAAATTTAAATAGCGATATACGCCATTTTATATGATTGATACAAAATATCAGTTGATAATGTCATTATAATATAATGTATTATAAAAATGGTGAATGTATATTTACAATTTGAAAATAAAAAAATTATAAATCGATTACCATCGTTATTATGTACACATTAATAAAGTAATCGCGACACAGTTGAAGTGAACCAATGATGATCACGTTGGCTTTATCGCATAGCTGTTAGTGATGGGAGTATTTTGTTGAATATTCGATGTTAGTCGACCATTCTAAACGGGATGTGCTCAAGCCGTATTCAACTATGTATAAGTTAAACAAAACATTTTTCCATTCACGCAAATGTTTCGATCCACAGAAATTGCTCATAGTAGCGAAGGTCACGAATACAGGAGAATTGAACGTTGGATAGTTTAAATATGGCGCGGGTAGTATTGGTCTTAGGTTTCATCATGTAATGTTAGCATGAAGATGTAGGGTTAGCTTGAGGACTGAAGAAAATGGCTACACCTCCTCGTGTAAGCAGAACAGCTCAGCAAAATTAATGTTTTTCTGAATCAGAGTGATTCGATTGCATAGAAAATAAAGATATTAAACGTCTCAACTGTATCAGTCATCTTTCACGTGCACCTCTTCTTGATTCAGGCTGATTATGATATCAATGAAGAGCTTCTTACCAAAACGATCAGATGTCGTTCCTGATAAATCATTACGCTCTAGTTTCGAGCAAAAGCAAAAGTTCGAATCCGAACTTACTGCTG